TCCAGCTGCACTGGTCGCTTGAGTACTGGCAGAGAGAAATCCGACAGAGAAGGAGGAGAGGCAGAAATGAGGCCAGCATCAGGGAGAGCATGTTTATCTCGCTTCACTTTGCCTCTTTTCTCGACTGAAACTATGGGAAAGTCCACCGCCGTCTGTCCGGCCGCATAGTGTTTCCATGTGCCCCGCTCCGCTTCGTCCGCTCTCAGAGGGCTCTCCTTTTTGTTTCCCGAAGTTTCAGAGACATGAAGTCTCTTTTCTTACGTGTACGGACCTCTCCTTGCGTTCGGGTCTCCGCTAACCGTGGACTGGTTTCGGCTCCGTCTCTGGCTCAGCAGCCCTGATTGCTCTCCACGTCACACCCCGTTCGCTCAATCAGCTGCGTTCAGGCGCTCAGCTCGGGCTCGGACATACTAACTTCACAGAACAAAACGATCCTCTTTGAAAATGATTTATTACCAGAAGTGGGTAGAGGAACATTTTATTCAAGGGTGTCTTTACTTAGGAATATTTCTTACTAAAGCGGATTGTATTTGGTGAAAGAGAAGTTAAGTACTGCGGGACAACTGATAATGTCCGATTTTCAGAGGAATCAGACGAAAATATTCAATTATTTTTACATTAATTTTTAAAACAGTGATTTATAAAACTAAAAAAACATCTTCACAAAATGAAAAAATAATCCACAGAAACCTAAAATCCTACTAATTCAGCAAATGAATCTTTTAAATCAGTATGAATCATCTATGTTAATTTTTTTCACTTACATATACTGTAGATTCACAGACATAGAAGCTCACATAGATAGATGTCAGTGAGATGTTTAAAGCTTGGAATATCTTTTTATAATCTAACACTGCTTCAGACTTCTCCACATTTGTATTCATATGCCGTCAGATGTGTTCCTTTATTTATGTTCTCAAACAAACTCCTGAAACTTTCCAGGAACAGCTGTATGCACAACAAGATTGAGCCAAAATTCAAGAACTCTCAATTTACTAACTAAGTAATAATGAAAACAACTAGCTACAGCAGATGTTATTTATATTTTTATTATCTCATGAGTTCAGAAGGTTGCATGCACCAAGACACGTTTTCTTTATGTTGTTAAAAGGTGTGACACAATTCAAAGGTTGTGAGTGTCAGTAAATAAAAGGCCTTGCTAAGTACTTACCAAGGAAAAAGTTGTTTTTTCTGAAGAAACTTAACTGTCCTTAAATATTAATTTCAAAGTGATAAACTTATTTTATTTGCACAAATCAAGAAAAAGAAAAAACATTTCTACTGCTATATCAATTGAATAAAAAGCAAAACGTTGTAGCAGGCTACAGACCATTTGTTTTTAAAGGTTTTTCACAATGTTTTTTAAGATTTTTGCAGGATTTTGTGTTTTCAGTTAACTTCCTCCTCTCTATTTTTGAGAACCTTATGAATGCATTTATCTTCAAAACCTAAAGAGCTTGAAAAGAAAGCGTGACATAAATTGCACATAAACATTCAAATATATCCAGATAGTAACAGGCATTTATATTATTCTGGGCTGCCTGCCTAACTTATTCCATTGTAAGTTACAGACAAGTTGTAGACTTTGAAATTAGTTAAACCGTATTACTGGTAGCACTTGCCTGTCGTGACTTTGCCAGTAATAACAGTGATGTTTTCTTTTGGTATAGGTTCCTGACGCATATCTTACTCAACCAGACATAAACTGGTTGTGTGCTTTAAGGCTTGTGGATGATGTCACCTGTGTAAAGGGTGGATTCGTCAAAACATCATTAGTTCACTGAGTAATGAAACGAAATGGTCTATATAATGATATATCGTGAAAATTTGGATAAATTTGACCTTTGAAATCTTACTGTATATGCGTCTAATCCAGTGATATGTTTTCTTGGTTCATACACAACCTTATGAACCAAATATCAAATACCTTTGATATTTGTTTTCTTCAGCACATGAAGACTTTCTTTCTACTCATCAGCAAAACACGTCTTAAAGAAAATACAAATGTTTATCAAATTTTGAATTTTTTATGGAAATATAGCCTCGAGATACTGTACATTGTTGTTTAAAGCTAATTCAACATTTAAATGTAAAAGTACTTCAATGGTCTCAAAGGTAAATTAAATAAATGAAAGAAGCTATCTGTAATCTATCCCTACAAGGAAATGCTCATTTTAGGTTGAGCTGGAACTTGCTCCTCAAGTTATTCATAAACCTATCAAGTTCTCAAAAGAATACTATGTCCTTCCTGGTTTAAGTTTTCTTTTTAAGGAAAATGTCTAATTGCATCCCTAGCACTGTAGATAATATTGATCACATGATTGCTTCAAGCTTAGAGTCTATATAGAGTTCTGCTGTATTTCAAAATGTCACTTTCTGAATGAAGTCAGGTAGATTACAAATGTAAAATAAATGAACAATTTGATCAATTGTATTAATCAAGGCTGAAAAGTTATCCAAATTAACCTCAACTAGATGCACCCTCCTTGGCAGTGACGACTGCCATAAACACGTGTCATTTGCATCACTGAGGAGGAATTTTGGCCCGCTTCGACCTTGCAGAATTGCTTTATTTCAGCCGCATTGCTTGGCTGGCATAAGGCCGACAATATCTCAATCAGATTCAAGGCTGTGCTTTGACTAGGCCACTTTAAAATCTTTTTTGTTTTATCTTTTGTGGACAGGCAGACTGTGGCGGACTCGCTTTGTTGTACAAACTGATGGCTGGACATTCTTCTGTATGGATTTTACGTTAGAGATTAATGAGTTGTTCAAACTACTCAGGTCATTAGATATAAAAGGTTGAACATGTTACCTTTGGGGATTCAATATTCTTTTCCGACTGTTCAATTTGGATTTGAGCTGAAAATGGCAGACTATTAGTGTGAGTTTGTTTCTCATTTAACCACAACCCCAGTGACAGTTGCTGTCATGTCAAAATAAATGAACCAAAGATGTATGTGTTGGTCAAGAAAACACAGAATGACAGTCGCAAAAACATGAGGGAACGATGTCTTGAGATCTTCTGGTTTACATTTTTTCCTGCAAACACTCATTTGCAGTTTAGTGGGATTCAGAAAACCACAGAGCTCAAACACTGAAAAATCCCTGACGGCTCTATGGTCAAGCAGCAATTTTCCTGGGGTATTCTGAGAAATCTTCCAATCATCATGAGTAACTCTAAACAACTGATCTACAGCTCAATAAAATTAGTTGCAGTAGGCCCGATGAATCTGAAACAAAAACACCATAAAGGCAAGTTTCTGAGTGAATAAAGAGCTGCAGGGACTTGCAGAGCAGCGGGGTCCGTTACTACAAGCTGCATCAGTAAACATGGATGACTTGTAAATTATGTGGTGAATCCTGCGCAATGATTTCTAATGAACAGCTTGTTTTTTGCGTGGATGACATGTGGCCTGGGAAAGAAACCTGTATGACAAGAAAAACCAGAGCATTTTGTAACTGCTACTTATCTGCTCCAGTTTCTTAGAACATGAAATTAGTCATGGCTCGATAGTGTCAACACCGCTGACCCGACATGCAGGATACAAGTCCAGGCTTGGTCCTCATGCCCACCAGAGAGTACCAGGGAAAAAAAAAAAAAAAAAAACTCAGATGGATCTTCAGATAGGCTTTTAATTTGACTGCGAGATTACGCATGTGATAAAAATCACACAAACCCTCCACTGTTTTCTGGACACAGCAAAGCCTTATTTGTGTCATTTGGATTAGGATTTTGGCTTTAGGAGTGTTTGCTGTGGATTCTTTGTTGTCTTTGCCAGTTGTCTGGGAAGTTTCTTGATGAAGAAAAAAAGAACTGCAATACGTGTGCAGGCAGGTAAAACAAGGATCCAACACAATGACACCTGCAGTTTCACAGAAGCTACACAAGCATCAGTCTTCTTGTTGTTTACTGTATTAACTCAAGTCAAGCATAAATTCTCCTTCTTACATAACCTATCTCAGGTTTTGCATACAGAGATCATAAATAAAACACAAATATTTGTCAAATATTCTGAAGCTAGTCAGTATTTTTGAACTATTTTCAGATTATGTCACAAAAAGAAAACACTTTAATATTTACTTGGGATATTTAGTAATAAACACAAAGTAGCATACTATTGTAAATTAGAAGGAAAATACTATTCTTAAAGAATAGCATTTTATATATAAAGTGGATTTGTGTCTTCAAAATGGAAAGAACATGGCACAACTGCAGACCATCCAAGATATGGCAATACACCTACACTGGCAGAGAAGTTAGAGAAGCAATAAAAAGGCCCAGGGTAACTCTGGAGGAGCTGCAGAAAGTCCCAGCTCAGGTTGGGGAATCTGTGGGCAGGATTACTATTTGTTTTGCGCTCCACTAATCTGGCCCGATCCACAGCTGATCCGCTTCTGTCCTCACATCCACCTGGAGATGGTGATTTAAGGGGCCCAAAATGGTTTTTTTTGTTGTTTTTTTTAAAGTTAGAGTGATCATTTCTCCCTGATCTAATCATGTGGACAGTGACAACTTGTTTTTTGTGAAAATGCTGATGTGTCAGCCCAACTTCTAACCTCACCTATAACCCCAAACACACCATACGTCTCATATGTAACAACAATAGTGGCATATTACATGTTCTGCAACAGACTTCACTTGTGTTTTGTTGCTCACCATTCTTGATGTTTTTGTACTTATTGTTAAAATCAAGTGGAGGGACATGTCCCTTACTCCATGTCTAGCGCCGCTTACACATCTGGGGAAGAAAAAATAGAGTTGATAAAAACAGTTCTGAAAAATGTCTTGTGAGGTATCAGGTGTTGTTGAAAATGACAAATGGTTTTAGAAAAAAGCGTGGACTTGTCCAAGTCCTGGTCTTGATCTGACTCAGTTTAAACTATTTTGAAAAGAAGGATGTACAAAACTTTCAGTCTGTTGACATTTTCAAATGCAAACTGCAGCAGGCAGTGAAGATTATTATACAAAGCATTGCTTTACTAAGCCCAAACACAAATTCATGCGACACTTTTCATATCTTTATTTGTAAAACAAACAAAAAAATACTTTTGAAAACAATTTCACAAAATATACATTAATATGCAGAAGTTTCTGTCTGTCAAAAAGTGAAAGTAAATGGGACATGAATACTTTTGCAATGTACTGCAAATACATGCTGTATTTAGCTGACTACTGCTTCACTGCTATCCAAAACATTGCAAAAGAAATATTTGGGTTTTAAGCTGTCAGCCAGACAAAACATGCTGTTTCAAAATGTCACCACTGACCCTGGAGAATTATGCTGAGCATTGTCTCATTTTTCAACATTTGTCTTATTTTAGAAGACAAAGCAAATGATCAGAAACTATGAGAAATAAGTCAATGCGCCATGGGAGTAACATGAGGTGCATCTTCCCGACGACCTGCTCTGTGGGAGCAAAACTTACACAACCAGGATAACTGCTTCTCTTTTTCCCAGAGGAGAAGATTGAACTCGTCTTGTTATTGCAGTTGCTGCCAGTGTTCGTTATTTTCTCATCATAGCTTAAAGGAAGCAGGTTCAGCTCTCACTCTCCACCTGTTAGGAGTCTCACTGGAGGTGGGGTGATATCGAGGGGGGTGAAATCAAGCTTCATTTAGAATGTTAATGAAATGATAGCCACACTGTTGGGTTGAAACTTTATGGAGGATATTTACCAGAGAGGCACAGAGCTGCAATCTCAGGCAAAGGATTAAGAGTTTTAGAAGTATGCAGCTGGGCAGAGACCGGCAGAGTGAAGTGGAAGAAGTTGGGGATGGGGGATGTGACTAAAGTTTCTAAGGGGGAAGGGGATTGTGTTTTTTCAGTCAGCCCTGTTGTCCCAAGCTCTTGCTGAGTGTGACTTATGCCCAGAGTTTGCCCCCAGGTGGAAAAGCAGTCGTAAAGTAGATAGATGCTGACAAAACACAATTTTTATGTGCTTGTCTTCTCTGTCCTTTGTGCCCCCAACTTTTACTTTTTTTCTGTAATTGGCACATTGGAGGAACAAGAAAACAAGCAAAGGGGCTTGCTCTTTGTTGAAAACACACACAGGGCTTCTTATTTTACAACAGCAGCAATTCAGTGTTTTCTTTCTTAGACCGAACTGATTTTCTTTCAGTGCTCAGGGAACCAGTTTGTTGCTCTTCTTAAAAGCCAGCTATTGCCCATTTCATTAGTCGACACTACGCTCTAAACTCCATCCACACAAGTATGTCAGATGTGTTGTGGTATGCAAAAACAGATTGGAAGGTGCTGATACCATCAAGCAGCCGTCTGCTTGTCATCAGCCTTCCCTGGCTTCTTTCCAGGGTGTCAGAATCACAGCTGAGCTAAAACCTATGTCACATTCTTCTCAGTAAACAGGAACTGTTTCGTTTTGAGGCATTATTTGTACCTGAAGGCAGGCATGGGGTCTGCATCTCGTCTGAAACTTTGCACGGCAATATCTTTCCTCTTGTTTGAATGAAAATGTAGGTTGCTGTGCCTTTACCATCCACGGTGGTCAGTACTTGTCAGCAGGGAAACGTGTGGGCGGAAAGTGACATATTTGAAGAATGCAGCAACTGGCACATCTTACTGTGAATTCTTCGAAGTTTTTGCAAGCCAGCAGAGACAACGCTTGTCTTTTGTTTCAGCCTTGATGGTGATCTCAAGCTGTGAGAGAAAGAACAGAACATGCTGAAGTATGGAGAGAGAGAGCAGAGATGGAAAATGTTGCTCTTTACAATATCTGCAAAAGGCCATGAATACAGTGTGATTAGATAGGGTCAAGGCCTGAGCCAAGTAAATTCCTAATCCCTCTGAGAGGTTCTCTGTGTTCTTATTATCAGCACACTTACTTGGCAAACTTGGAAGAAACTTCAGCAGTAAGGCGTCTTATAAGATATTAGGGTCACGGGTCATTCTGAATTTGCGATCATTTGGCCAGAACCTTAAGAAGATGAAAGCACAATAACAGTGACTTTTACTTTGCTCTGTATGCAGATTTTTCCAGGGATCAGAACGAGGAAAGGCCTGTACGTTCCAGTCATTTTTAGTTTTATCCTTCAGCATACATTCAAGACCACAAAAGCAAGAAAAGCAGAAGAACTGGGATTAAAATCTGATTACCTTCAAGGAAAGCAGTTAAAACACAGAATGTGATTTCCGCTCTTCAGATTAGACTCGGTGATCGGATTCTCAAGGCTTCCTCTGGCCCACGGCCCTCCTTCTCCTTCATGCCCTGGTGACCCCAAGGTTTCCTTGATGGGTGTGCTCCTTCTGTGATTCGCTCATTGAGTCCAGGATGCTAGGCACAAAAAGTATCAGCCATTGCTCCTGCTGATGTTAGGTGACAGCCATGATAGACTCAAGAGAGTGTGGGGGTAGGAGAGAAGAAGCGAAGGCTGCTTCCTTTGTTATGTCCAAAATTCCTTGGCTTGTGTGAGGAGATCAGCTCTTCAGCCTCCCAGATTCCTGTGCATCTTCTTGTGCAATGGGCAAAGAGGAAAGAAAAAAAAAAACAAATGACTTACTGAGGTGAATTCTATTTTTATTTTTTTTTAAATCATAATTTAAAATTCCGTTAGATAAGGTTTTACGAAGCCCCTTCATTATTTATTCCCACTTATCGTTAAAGTTGTGTAATTCCTAATCCTTTAACACGGTGCCACGAACATCACAGTGATACACCCAAAGATATCTTTGTGTGTATATAGATACACTGACAAATAATTTAATTTCTGATCATGATTACTCTCCCATTTGTTTTTTTTTACAAAGCACAAACTTTTGCAAACAGAGGTCATAAATAAAACACAGATATTTAGCAAATATTCTTTAGCAATTATAATTTTTAAAACAGCACCGAAAACCTACGTCATTGCTCACAACTCCTCCTTCAGTTTGAAATTCAGCTGGAGACATCAAGGTCTTTTCCTAATGCTGTCGGAAAAGGCCAGAAACAGCAGTGACAGCCGCTAGCACTAAACTGCACAGCTGGTGAACAAATCTGAACTAAACTGACACCAGATCAGTTCAAGAATTTAGACAGAATATACACATTTTACTCCTTTTTCGGGAATCTAACCTTTTCCTGCTTATGAGAACCCTGAATCTGCCAGCCCTAATGGAAACCAAAAACGTATGCAAGGTAACTTCCCATCCAAGTTTCTGAACACTTTCAGATGTCAAAAATTATGGCGACTTAGATGATCAACTCCACAGTTAATGCAGCTTTAACCCCTCAAAAAAGAAGATTCTCTCACAAAGATTCACTATGATCAAAACCAGCAGGGCTCAAAACCAGAACACTTGCCAACATAAGAAACAAAAACTAAATATTTACACATTATAATTTCTTAACTTTCAGGCAGAGATTCATGAAACACACACCGTGTGGTGACAATGTGGCTGAAGTTCATTAATCAATGCAAAAGCAAACACTGAATTTGCTTGTTTTAAATGAATAACATCGCCAAGTTAATTATTGGAGATTACTTAATAATCGTGGATAATCTCTGATAGTCACGAGAACTTTGGCGAGGCTATTTACAGCTATCGGTAAGTCTGTATTTTAAGATGGCAACAATGATGATTGACTGCCATTATTGAGAGGTTTACTCAAGTGAATAATCTTAATGTTGTCTATCAGCAGCTCAACTCTATTCCCACTGAGAAGCTCACAAGAGGAGAAAGAATGAGTGGAGGGAATGGAGCAGAGAACAGTTGGGGCATTGTGATAAAAAACATGTTGAGTTTTATATCGGCACATGGTTTGCCTTAAGAAACAGTCATCGAACTGTTCAGAGGTCAACAATTACTCAAATTTCAGCATGAACTGTAAGCGCGGCAGCCATCTAAGGAAATTTGGATACAGTGGAGTCGTTATAAAGTGGTGACACAATGAGCTCTTTAACATCCTCCGGCTCTTGATAGCTTTCTCTTTTGCTTCAAATAAGAGCTGGATTCCAGAAAGTTTGGCTGTGGTGACGTTCTGCACAGTCAATGACAATACCATCATTTGGTGATTCACAAGCTAGTTGCAGGTGTGGTTGGAGAGGTAGAAAATATACGACAAAGAAGTAAAAATAGGTCAAAAGTAGTAGCCACAAACTGAATCGCTCCTCATCTTGTCACCCTGAAATGACAAATTCCATTGCATTTTGTTTGAATTTTGTGTGAAAGAAAACCACAAAGTAGCACAAAAATATGATGTGACACTTATGTATGGTTTCAAGATTTAGTACACTGGTCATATGTCACAAAATTGAACCTATAATCACACTAAACTGGAGTCCATTCTAGAAAACGAGAATAAAAAATTTGTAATAATTATGTTCAACGTCACAATCAGTTGCTTTTGTTGTGATCTCTAAGATAAAATCCTAATAAAATATAAAAGTTTGAATGGCAAACATTTGAAAACATTGAACATGATTGGTGTTCATGGTGTTCATTTTGGTGAACATGTAAAGTCTGTAGAAAGTCGCAGACCAGGATTCAAACCCAGGACCGTTTTGCTTGGATACAACTGTACTATCAACAGCCTAACTAGAAAATAGATTCACTTATATTCAATTATATACATTTCACTTCTTCTGTTACGGCTGTTGTAGATGTTCCACACCACTCCTCCAAAATTAAAACTCTAGCAATTTTTTTTTAAAAAAGGAAATGCCATTTACTGAAACCGACAGAGTGAAAAGGTAATGCACACTCAGCAGACATGCTGAGTGATATTTTCCCAGACTTTAGCACATATTATTGTAACTTTGTCTCAGGGTATAAAACATATCAACTTTCATTAAATGTTATTTCTCGGTGTGATCTTAAAGGGTTGACTTTCTGCTGATGTAGTTAACCATGAAATAATACTAAAAGGCTATTGCTAAATACTGAAAAAGATCTGTTGGTGTCTTTAATGAAAAAACAATACAGGCATGCTGCGACAAGAGGAATGACTTGCTGAAAAAAAAAAACACAAATCTACACCAACTCAAAAAGAACCTGTTAGGGCTGTATGTGCGTACTTATTCATCTTGAAGGTTTGTCAGGCTGTCTGCCAACAGAGCCTGTGGTGAAATTAGTCTTTTTTTAAAAGTTCAAGAGGCACAATAGGGGAAATAGATTGCATGAAAAATATTGTTTTCCATTTGCTGGCATGTCCAGAAGGAAGTTTTAGGGGGACATTCATCTATAAGAATACAGAACAAGTTTGTTAGCAAAAATGCTGCAGTTTTAACAGAATGCAGTGTTTAAGTTTAGCCAAATCAAGAATATCAAGAGAATTAATCTCCCTGACTTGACCTGCATGAAGATGAAAGTCTTTGATGGACTGATAGACACATTGCTGAGAGGAGAGATCCCTGCAAGTGGGCATGGTGGTATTACTGTGAACTGTGGTGGTTTTGCTCAGCATCTGCAGCACATACAAACAAACAATCATGTGTAGAACTGCAGGGATGAATCAGTGACTGGTTGGGCCAGATTGTGTATCTGACGCACAAACCTACAACACTCCCACCTCCTCTGCACACACGGCTGGCACGCTCCACACACGTTCCCTGAGTCGCATGTGTCAAACTGGAAGATTTGGACATATTTAAAGATTCTCCAATTAAATTCAACACTAGTTTATTTTTCTGTTATTAGTATTGTTACAGATCTTGACCACATTAGAAAAGATTAAAATGCTATAGTCCTGGAAAAGAATATTTACGCCTGACACATTTTCTCAATTTTCTTTGTTGTCATCATTAAATACTTCACAGATGACTCTAGTTAAACACAAAAATCAATTTTCAAAGAAAAAATTTACATAAGAATATAACTTGAAGCAGGGTAAAGGCTTTCAAATAGTGCTGAAGCTTCCCAGGAGTGGCTGAACTACCAACATTACAACAGCGGGCCATTAAAAACAGGTCACAACAGAACACAGAACAAGATCTACTGCCCTGCAGAACTCGCTGGTCTCATTTAATGTTGCTCTTGATGTTGATGGAGAAAGAGAGTGGAAGAGTTCCAAGACAAAAACTTCAACTGACCATAAATAACAAAAAATTTTGTCTTGCATCGGCCATAAACAATTACTTTTGGGAAATAATTGGCGGCTGACAGCTGTGCAACAGAACACACACTTGACAAAAGGTGTGCTACCTGTTGGATTTGCTGTGAAATGCTTTTCAGAAACAGAACAATACAGGGTTAATCAAACATGTGTGGTTTGCTGCTTTGGATTATTGATAACTTGCTGATATGGCTGTAAATATGTATTCTCCTGAAAAATCTTGAAGGAGAAGATCCAATTATTACTCTGACATTAAACTTAAGCACATTTGAGTTACGGAGCATAACAACAATCCAAGGCACACCAGCAAGAAAATATGGTTTTTAAGTGACCTATTTAAAGTTCAAACTTCTGTACAGTAGATGTTTTTGTAAGATAAACATGCTTTTCATGATTTTTTTAAAAAACAGAAGAAACCTGTAAGGGCTAAATATTTCTTCATAGTATTGTACACGTCATTTAAATCTGTTTCCCCTTTGCATTAATCAGTTTATACAGCAACAGACACTTGCTAATATCCATGAGATATCATCATGATGAGACACACGTCTGTGCAGGTGAATCACAAACCAGCTGCAGCAGGTGCTACAGCCGCCAGACATGAACTGCAGACACACAAAGACGACGTTGACGAAAAAATTATGTACATGTGCAACATTCGTCAACTTCCACGTCTGTGTAAAATCAAACGGATTGTGGATAAATAAGTAACTACAGCTGTGATTTTGTGCCTCAATGCAACAAATACTGCCAAATTTTCACTGCATGATTAAACTTGCTTTCAAATGTCTCACTGTGCGTCTGGTTAAAAAAGTAAAGCTGAGAGGTTTCGAGCTTTGTCCTTTCCAAGCATATGATCGGAGTCCCTTGATGGGCCTGCAAACAAAGCCAGCGATTCAGCTATGGGCTCTCTCCACACCTCGACCCACTCCCACTCTCATCTTGCCAAGCCTCAGATCCAACTGCAGCCCAGGGAGTTATACTGAGCAACAATGAGGCCCTTGTACAAGTTGAGGTAACACCATAATTGTTACAATCTGCCCATTCAGGTGAACGCCACACCCACTTTTGACTCCTGGTGACATTTTGAGAGCTTTCTGACTGTCAGTGATGCTGCTGCATTAATCAGATACAATCAGGAGGCCCATGATGTGCCCTACCTTTTGATAGCTCAAAAGGTAGGGCACATTAATTACATGCTCCTTTCTTACGAGGTAATTGAAAGTGTTCCTCAGGCAATAAAGAAGTGGCATAAAGACAAAAAATACATTGGAAGAAAAATAGTGTCATTGAAGCAGTTACAAAAAAAGAAAGAAACACCGGAACACAAATTTAAAATAAATGAATACCAATAAGAAAACAAATGTTTCTGCACATCTTAGTGTGTTTCTAGGGTTGATTTAGGTCTGACAACTGAGC